CCTCGAGCCTCATCAATGAAGCCTCTGGGCCCAAGACTGTCGCTCGTAGGTAGGTTGCCGGTAGTTCGTGCCATGGTTTTTCTTGATTTTGCTGGCTTTTTCACGAAGTTTTCATTTGGAACTTGCAGTATTTACATGCGGTTGTGCTTGCTCGCCTTGATTTTCATGCAGAACACATTACAGAACAGTTTTCAGCGTGGAGCACGATTTGCCGATGAGTCAACCTACAGAGCACAGAACGACGACAAGATCTTGGGGGCCTCCCCGGTCCCAATTCCGGGGGCCGCCAGTGCAGTTCATGGGGATGGATTTGCGGATGGCGGTGGAGGCGAGGGTTTGGCACCTGTGTGCAGGGTGTCACAGAGTGGTCCGATTCATGATACACGGAAGGAGCACAGACTGGCCACGAAACATAGCACTACAGGCCCACATGCTGATGGCTTTATTTCTGATTTTAGCAAGTACAGGAAGCGATCTTTCAAGAGAGCAGTCCGACGAGCCAGGCTACATGGCACAACATCGTATCATGGACGGTTGGTCACGGAAGGCATGCTCTTGGGCGACAATAGCACTCAAACTTCATCACAACCTTCAGCTACCACTCCGCAGCGCAGGCAATCAGAACAGGATGCAGGGCACTCACGCTCTTCTCGCTCCTCGTCGGCCACATTATCCATTGCTACCTGGAACTGCGGAGGGCTCAGTGGCATTAAAGATGAGTTCTTTGTATGGGCCGCTGAGCAGCCCTTTCAAGTCATTATCCTGCAAGAGACGTGGTTCAGGTCGGATATGGATTACACGAGTCATGGATGGCTTTGCCTGCATACGGGATTGGGGACAGAACCTAAGAGGGCGCATGCAGGGGTCATGATTCTACTACGCAAAAGCAGCTTCATTGAAGGCAGTGTCCGCTCACATGCTGCAGTGCCGGGGCGACTACTCCTAGTCAAGGCCCAGTCCAAGCAGTTAGGATGGTTGTCTATCGTGGGACTTTATCAGCATGTTTGGGACTGTCAAACCGAGCAACAGGTCATGCAGGAAAGACGGGATGCGGTTTGGCAGAGCTTGCGCTTCCTGATCAGCCAGACACCCAGCACGCACACACTGATCGTCGGGGGCGACTTTAATGCCTCACTTAAGCCACTACCACCGTGGCTTGGACAAGGCATGCTGGCTGCCAAGAAGATCTCCCCGGATGCCGAAGCTGTGGAAGGCCTACTTCGGGACTTTGACTTGCGTGCGTGCAACACCTTTGGCAGGACCAACAGCGCAACCTTCGTGCAGCGCACTCTTAAGGAGAGCAGGCGATCGTTCATCGACTACATCCTCATCAGGCGCGGCCGACAACATGTTCTGCAAGCGGGACCCGTTCAGCAATGTGAGGTGGGAAGATGGCGGGGCGGAGGACGACATACACCGCAATTTGCCACCTTGCAGATCCAGAGGTTTCGGACTCAGCGTGCACCGCCTGCGGCGGAGTGGCCTCGATGGAAGTGTGCCTTGCTGCAGAAGGCAATCGTGGAGCAGCCGACTTTAGGGCAAGACTTTGGCGAATGTGTGCAGCGCTCCCTGAAGCAGGTGAAGGAGTACAATGCAGTTTCGCTAAATCAACTCCTGCTAGCTGCCGGGCGACAGGTCTTCAACATCAAAAAGCCGATGTCATTGCCTCCGCCCTGGGAGGCCGAAGCGCACGCCGCTACCATTAAGACCATGTGGCAGCACTACCGAGCGATGCGCACGCAGGCCCGCACCACCTGGGGATCAGCTGCCCTGCCACATGTGCTCAAGGCATGGATCCATCACTTCCGCTTTGTTCGCATGCACAAACTTGTTCAAAAGCATAGCAGACGACTCCGACGGGAGAGGTTCCACACATTGCTGGAGGAAGCCGAGGAACAGGACAAACAGGGGCGTCCACAAGCCATCTTCGACATACTGCGCAGGTTCACACCGAAACAACCACGACAACGCCGGCATCTTCGAGACAAGGCGGGGAGGCTTCTTGATCCGGTGGAAGAGGCCGAGGCGCTTGCTGCATTCTGGAAGAGCGTGAACGGCACCACTACCCGCCCCGCGAAGGTCCAATGCGAGATCCAGTATCACATCACGTGGGAGGAGCTGGCTACAGAGTTGTTGCACCTCAAGGCGGGTAAGGCGGCCCCTGCGCACTTCGCTCCGCACATCCTATGGCAGCTTGCAACTCCGCATCTTGCACAATTTCTCAGTGAGCGTGTTCTACAGGCCTGGAGCACAGATCACGTTAGCATCGACCCCGCGTGGCCGTCAGCGTGGTTAGTCTTCCTTAAGAAGGCGGGGAAAAGCGGCGCTGATCCATCGCATCTTCGTCCCATCTCGCTTCTTGAGCCTCTGGGGAAAGCGGTCGCGGGAGTCTTGAAAAGGCACCTCCTGCCCTTTGTCACCGACCGGGTCATGGATTTACCGCTGTTCGGCTACTTGCCCAACCGCTCACCGATACAGGCACTCGAGATTGTCTACAGCCATTGCAGCAGCGTCCGCTCTCGCGCCCAGGCCAGCAAGCGCTCCTTCTATGCGCTCAAGCAGGGGCATCAGGCCTCCAAGTGCGGAGGTGGACTACAGATTTCACTAGATTGCTCTAAAGCTTTTGATTGCATTGATAGGGCTTTGCTTACGGAGGCGATGGGACTACTCGGAGTACCCGAGGACTTGCAGGACATCATTTTGAAGTGGACGGCTGCCACCTCATACCACATCGTGCAGGACAGCAATGACCATCACTTCGGCTCAGACAAAGGAGTACGCCAAGGATGTCGTCTGTCCCCTACGTTGTGGTTGTGCATCAGTTTCGTCATAGTTCAGAAGATCGAGGCAGTGCTCGGCAACAATTGGTGCCGTGATCACTTGGTGGGATTCGCCGATGACACACACCTCAGGTGGGAATTTTCAGAGGCGGAGCAACTCCAAGATGCGCTTTCTCAGGCTGATCAAGTCCTCAGCCTGCTTGAGTCGCTGGGCCTCACGCTCAACAAGGAGAAGAGCGTCTGTCTATTAAAGATTGCCGGGTCCCAGGCTCCTAGTCTTCATCGCAAGCTTTCTCGCAAAACCGAGCAGGGGCACGAGCTACACATTTCAGAGCGCTGGCAGCTGCCGTGGAGATCTCAACATGTTTACCTCGGTGCTTGCATTTCTTATGGTAACTATGAACTGGAGAATGCGCAACATCGGGCTAAGGCAGGCAAGGCAGCTTATGCCAGGCTACGGGGAGCTCTACATACGCACGGCATCCTGCCCTTGCGGAAACGGCTTGCACTCTGGCAACACATGGTCGTCACATCAACGCTGTACTCCATTACCGCTTCAGGTCTCAACCGCAAAGCCTACGATTTCTTGCGCGTTCTGCTCACCAAGCAGGCCAGAGCCATCGCCAGGAGCCCCAGACACCTTGACTTGGAAAATGATGCGAAATTCTGGGAACGAGTAGGCTTGGAGCCCGTGGCTGCCATCTACCAGCGGCAACTACATCG